GAAGCTTCAGTGGCCTTTCCATTTAATTTGACAAAATCTTCCACAATTTTTTCTGACCTTGAAAGGTTTGAAGTTTTCTCTGGAAAAATTCTGGAGGTTTTCCTGCTACCTCAACATGCTTGGTTTCAAGGTGTCGCCGAAGTTTTGCGGGCTTCATGCTGTCATTAGCCAAAATATCTTGACAAACCACACATAAAGGTCGTGGTTCATCAGCTGGTCCTGTCCACGTAAATCCTAAACTCAAATACTGATCATCATATCGTCGTCTTTTGGGTTTAAGCCCTGAAGTTGAAGGCTTTGAATCGGGAGGTCTCAGAAACCGCTCCATAGGCATATTCACAGCTACAGCCTTCTGGGTGAAAAATGTTTCTCCTATTTTTGACTTATTATTTTTTTGTATCGTTTAAATAAAAACATTTAAATATAATAAAAAATACATATAATAATTTAACTCAATAATTATATTTTTAATTTATTATAATTTCCCCGCGCCTCCCCTGACATGCTCTGGCGCCCCCCTGGGGAGGCGCGCCCCACACTTTGAAAACCCCTGGGTTAAAGCAACGGTTTCATTGCCATTGATTTAAGCTAACAGACGCCTGCACTGTTGATTCTGAAGGCCTTAAGGCAGATTTCTTTGACCCTGGCAACACGATTGCTGAAATATGATTGGATAAAAGCTCTAATATAAACATACACTGCTGGAAGCAGTGCAACCAAGAGAAAAGCTATGAACTGAAGAGAATAGTCTATTGGAAATAATTTAATACACATTCATGGAAAAATATATTAAAACTAAATCAGTGGTTCTGATAGTGTTTAGGCCAGCAGAGAAGGCTTTGCTGGCCCTGATGGCCCACCACTGAAAAACAGTAATATTTTGAAATATTATTGCAATTTAAAACATCTGTTTTCTATTTTAATATATTTTTAAAATGTAATTTATTCATGTGATGGCAAAACTGAATTTTTAGCAGTCATTGCTCCAGTCTTCAGTGTCACATGATTCTTCAGAATCATTGTATCAGAATATGCAGGATTCTAAAAACAGTTGTGCAGCTTAATATCTTGTGAAAACTGTAACACTTTTTTTCTTTGATGAATGGAAAGTAAAAAATCTACTAAAAAAATACACAAAATCAAAAGATGTGTAGCTGTTTAGTAACACCTGAGATTCATTGTGTGGTATGGGCAGTTCTGATATATTTGTTTGTTTTTACATACAGTGCTGTGTGTAAGTATTTCAGATGAGGCAGTTACTGTATGCGCTCACAGGATTCTGTCACAGACATCCAGCACACAGGATATTTTATAAACTGTAAACCACTTTCTGCTGTTCTGTACCTTCTGCTCTGGTTTTGTGTTGTTTTGGTTTACTCCTAAATTTGGCAATGGATTATTTAGTTTCTCATCTACAGGTGCATCTCAATAAATTAGAATGTTGTGGAAAAGTTCATTTATTTCAGTAATTCAACTCAAATTGTGAAACTTGTGTATTAAATAAATTAAATGTACACAAACTAAAGTAGTTTAAGTCTTTGGTTCTTTTAATTGTGATGATTTTGGCTCACATTTAACAAAAACCCACCAATTCACTATCTCAACAAATTAGAATACTTCATAAGACCAATAAAAAACATTTTTAGTGAATTGTTGGCCTTCTGGAAAGTATGTTCATTTACTGTACATGTACTCAATACTTGGTAGGGGCTCCTTTTGCTTTAATTACTGTCTTATGTATCACTGCATATTTTCCAAAAAATCTTATGAACCAGAGCAGATCCTTCAGCCCTCATATTATTATGAACGTGATCCTTTGCAAGCTTGCTGAAGGCCTTGAATGAGTTGTGGCTGCAAAACAAGCATTGTTTACTCTCTGGAGGCTTTACACATTACCTTCTTTATCTCTACTGCATTCTTTACATTAATTCCATGTTAATTCCCAGCTCCTTAGCTCCCTTGCCACTCTTCACACTTTTTATTTGAATTCTAATCAGCACACAGATCCTTTGTATTCGAGGTACAGGCGGCGTATACAGACAGATTGTGTTTAGTGCTCTCAGGACAGGGTATCTTATATTTCACAGGGGGGATTCTAGCTATGGTTAGCGAAACACATCCTACCTGACATCACTCATGGAAAAAAGTTTCTGCTAAATAAATGATTCTGAATTGTAATTGTAAGCAAGCCCTTAATGGATATCTCCTGTTTATCTGTATTCATTGGAAGCAACAAAAATACCCCTCACGCCAACCCTGCACAATTTATTTGATGATTTAAAAACCCAAAGATTAAATGCACTGAGCAAATTACATCATGTATTATGCGTGAAAAAATGAAATACTGTTTATCGAGGCTTTATGTCAAAATATTGTTCAGTCATATTTGCTTTCAGCTCAGTTTATTATTTCAACAGAGCTCCACAGATGATGTTGTTGATAAGCGTAATGACCTAACACTTGTTAAATAATTTTTTCCCCCCTCGGTGTCTGTGTTTTTAGAAGATTTCTCCACAGACCTTTAGTGTTTTACTTAAATAAATGATGAGGATTAATTCTGAGATGTTTATATTCATACACATTTACACTTCACCCTACTCAAATGTGTGTGTGTGTGTGTGTGTGTGTGTGCGTGTGCGTAAAAGAAACTGACTGACAGTCAGCGAGTGACTGAGAGGAAGTGAACAGCTTGTGTGTTTGTCGTGTGGGAGGACGTGTTGAATTAGCATGCTTGTCTCAGATGTGCGAAGGGCCCCGTATCAAACTCCGCCCTTCGGTCAAAGTGAGACTGCGCTTTTGATGCACTAATTACCTGCTCGGCTTGCAGGCATGCGATGGCCGCTTTAAAGCCACAGAAATGTAATCTGTTTTCAGAGCTCAGCTCGGCTTATCGGGGGGTTCCACGCTAAGCTCTTACGCTTCAAACATCAGTTAGTTACACATACTCACTATGGAGGCAGTCAGCTGGGAGCGTTTTTTGGCTCTTTTTTAAGAGCACTTTTCATTCTGGGATGATTTAAGTTGTCCTTAATGACTTGGGAAAGGGCCAAACCCTCAGGCAGAGCCTCCTGCCTGTCTTTGTGTTAGCCAGTCAGCTTTGTGTGGCTGCGGTGTGTTTATGCTCCTCAAGTGAGGCACTGCATGTGTGAGCGTGTGTGGGAGATATGAGGTGTCAAGAAGTGCATTGTGCAGCTGTTGTGTCTGTGTGCTTTGTACTTTGCGAGCATCAACTAACATTCTGAACACACACTTTGAATGAACATTCTTGAAGACAAACTGTAAATGAACATTCTGAAAACACACTTTGAATGTATACTTATTCAACACTATTCACACAAGAGTGCACACTATCAACACACGTTATGAACAAATTCTTAATGCACATTGTAAATTGCCCATCAGCAGCCTATGAAGTCATATTCTGTCTTTCACCCCACATCTTCCATCTGCATTATTGTAAACTTTGTAAGTTTAGATGTGTGAGCTGTTTGTTATTCTAAAATCTTGCTGCTTGTTCTGTGTATTGTATATTATTGCAATGATTCCCTTCTTTTCCTTTCTCTGCTCTGAGCTGTCCATTCCTTCCCAAGACCCCAATCAATCTGCAGGATGACATAACCCACCTGCTGAAATGAGTGTGAAATCTGTGCTCTGTATAAACCAAGAAATTTCAGGTTTAACAGGCCCATCGCTCTACGTTCCACCACATAAACTCAAACAGGAAGTGCTGCATTGCACAGAGCCCCACTGGAGGAAGTGAAGGTCTGGAAATGGAAAGAAACAAAGGAATTGAGTATAAGGAAGGAAAGCAAATATTTATAGAGGAGACATTCTATTTTCCTTCACTCCGAACTTGCAATTTCAAGCAGTTGCCTTAGTTTAGCACTTGTCTTTTTCTAGGGATATTGAAGAGCAAGTTTGTATCTTAATTCATAGAGTTTTATGATGATTTTGAATAATGAATAAACTACATAAAGTACTACATAAGAGATTTTCAAACTGTGGTCTGGGGAAACCCAAGGAGCAGCAGTAGGAAAAAAGATTTAGATTTAGCAGTTTGAGAAAAAGGATTTAATTTAATTAAAAGTTTAACACAATATTTTTTATATGCAGTTTATTTTATTCTATTTTCAGTTGTAGTTTTTAGCAGTTAGAAATAAAAAGTAATGTGAAGATTAGTGAATGTTTTTTTTTTTTTTACTTTGGAGTTTAAAGCAATGTTTTTTTTGTAAAACTGCTTTGTGACTATATTTGTTATGAAAGTTATACACCGAGTTCCAAATTTTAATGCAAGTGACGCATTCAGATTTGAGTTTTTCAAAGCAAAAAGTTTCTTTGTTTTTTTCCTCATATCTTTTTAGATCATTGGTATCAATCTCAGACAGGTTTGTTAAATAGTTTGCCAGGTCTTCTTAGGTAAATGGAAAACCTGCTTGAAGAGGTTGTTTCACATTAATAAGCAAGTCACAGTTTTCATTCAATATGGGGAGGAAGACAGAACTGTCTGAATATAAAAAGCGTGAAATAGTTCAACGTCTTGTGAAAGGCATGAAAACAAATAATATGTAATATCATGCTTAATATTTTTATATAGGAGGTATTTTATTTATTTAAAAGGGTTTCCCTCATAAAGGGATCACCTTATTTGCGGGTGTCAGGCTTGTGTTGTGTTTTGTTCCCCATGTGCTCCCTGTGTCCCAGTGTTTATGCCCATATTTGGTTAGTTTCCGGTTCCTGTCCTGATTATGTTGATTTAATTCCAGGTGTTCCCCATTTATTTCCATTGATCCCAGGTGGGTCTCGTCATCCCCTCGTCTTTTCATGTTTAAATAGTGTTCCCGGTTAGCTCAGCGTCCAGTGTTGTTCATGTCCAGTGCTGGGGGTAACGCATTACAAGTACCGTGAGTTACGTAATCGGATTACTTTTTTCAAGTAACTAGTAAAGTAACGCATTACTTTTTAATTGACAAGAATATCTGAGTTACTTTTTCAAATAAATAACGCAAGTTACTTTTTTTTTCCAATTTATTGATTGACAGCCCTCCTGTCCCCATGTTGAGAGAAATCAGAAGACCTTACTGTAGTTCTAAAATAAATATGAATATGCATTAATTCATCTCACTCACAAAAAAAACACAGATTCAGTATTCCTCAAAATGAATAAAAATAATGCAACTCAGAATATGACGCAAACCTGCAATAATTAAATGTTAAACTGTTAATCCCATTATATTAACCAATGTCTTTGCTTCTGACCTTCGATGATCCAGTTCAACCATAATAATAAGCAAAAATTACTCTAGACAAACATTTATGTGTCTTTTTTTATTGCTGAAGTGTGTTGAAATTTCTTCTTCTGCTTTCTACTGTACGGACGTAATTTTACTTTCCCTTCAGCCTGAGGTGTATTAATTTCACTTTTGGTGTGAAAAGGCTTTTATATTTGCCAAAAAAATTACTTTTTATTTTAAAAACAAACAAGCAAGCCCTGTCCAGATTTAAAAAGTAACGCAAAAGTAACGTAACACATTACTTTCCATAAAAAGTAACTAAGTACCGTAATTCGTTACTTTTTTATGGAGTAACGCGATATTGTAATGCATTACTTTTAAAAGTAACTTTCCCCAACACTGTTCATGTCTACATGTGCTACGTGAGTTTCCTTTGTTATTAAACTTCTCTGGATTGATGTACTCCTTGTCTCCCTCCGTTCCTTGCTCCGCACTCCACTCAGTAGTGCAACCGTGACAGCGGGGCCTTGGCATCAAAAAAAAAAATCAAAAAATTCTCAGCCATTTAATTTATTTTCTACCTGTTGTTTCTTGCCTTTTTTCCATTGTTAAATGTATTGAAACAGAGGTTTGTTGCTACACATACATCATATCTTGTTTGTGCTGTGTTTTGGTTTTATTGTTGTACTTTTATATGGCCCTGTAAAATTTAACTATGCATCTGCCACATGAAAAGGCATTGCAGTGTTTTATATTAGAATGAAGATTAGAAAACCTGAAAACAGTTTCTTTGTCTCTTGTTTCTCACCTCCCTTTTCTCGCTCCTGTGGTCGTCTGAGACTGACAACCACAAAAGTCTTCATCTGCGGCAAGCGGTTATGAAGTCATTCACATATTCAAATTATCTTGTGGTTGCCAAGAGCTCATTTAATCCTGAGCCGCTGATTAAGCAAAGACACAAAAACCTGTGTTTCTTTGACGTCATTTGCAAACATTTGTAAGTGTGTGTTGGTGTGTACATGTTGCATGTGTCTGGAACTGTGTGTGCTTACGGGGTAGTAGAAAGATGGTTGTGACATATGTTTACGTACACACATGCTTATTAGAGCCACGCTCTGCAGCAGTGCTGTAGAAACTTATAGGATAAAAGGATTAAGAAGAAACCGGGTGACCGCAGGGGGTGTTGTGTTACAGTGGAACTGCAGTGATTCCCAATTGTGCATTGAGCGCTGTCGGATTGCATCTATATTTTCTGAATATAAATTATGTTTGGCTGAAAATGGTGTTCTGAGTGTTTTTAGCATGTTGCTATGCAGTTTCTAGGGAGTTTTGGGTGGTTGCTTACTGGTCCAAGTGAAAATAGCCCTTGTGCACTGTTTTGTATGATGGCTCATGCCCTCTTTCATGTATCACAAATATATTTAGCAACACAACAGTGTTTTCAACATTATTATAATTAGAAATGGAGCATAAAATCAGCATAATAGAATAATTTCTGAAGGATCATGTGACACTGAAGACTGGAGTAAAGGCTTCTGAAATTAAGCTTTTCCACCATCGGAAGAAATTACATTTTAAAATATAGTACAATAGAAATCAGTTTTTTAAATTGTAACATTATTTCAAAATATTACTATTTTATTGTTTGTTTATTTTGATCAAACAAAATCAGTCTTGGTGACCACCTTATTGGACCCACAATTTTGAATGGTAGTGCATATCAAAATTTATATTGATTTTTTATTTATTTTTTTACACACTTTACCATTTAACATTTAACTGATCATTAAAATTAGAATTTACCCTTATTCACAGAAAGTATACTATATCAAAGGAAACTTTTTTAAAATTTGTGATATAAAAAAAAACATGTTTTTTTTTAAATTTTTTAGAAATTATTCTCCTCCACATTTTATTAGCTGACAAAAACAAACAAACGATCCATGACAGAGCTCTGACAGTAAATGTACACTCACACATTGTATGGTGAGTGAAATTACTGTATATGCTTTAATGAATACAGTACATTATTTTAAGTAAGCTTTTGTGTCCTGCCACATCACATATAAATACCTTTAGTTTTAAATGCACTTGGAAAAGCACATTTTCAACCGACCTGATTTTTTTTTCCTAGCAGGATAGTAAAACAGTATATGTGTCAGTACAAATGATGAAAGTCAGGCGTTAGTGACTATGTGCTGATGTTAATCTGTTGTATTGGGTTTTTAGCGACAGCATTGTTGCATTAAGAGATGATGGAGGTGCTGGTGCTCACAGAGGGATGATGGGGTTGCAGTATGCTGTGTGCATTAGAGTTTTCTGCCTGTGGTTTTGGCCAGGAGTGTGCAGTGCTGACTTCATCTTAACAGACCATATCTGTGTAAGAAAAGAGATCCATCATGAAATGCAGCAGGAAAATTAAAGTGAACTGATTTCATGCGTGTGCTTGATGATCTTGTGTGTGACTAACATAAAATGTGTGCATGCCTGTATAGTAGTAATATCTTCAAATATAACGTGTGAAGGTGCCTTCTTGTCATTCTAACCTTGTATAAGGCACACAGGATGTGTGTGCAAAAATCATTTTTAATGTTGTCTTTTAACTAAACATAAAAATTATATTTTGAATGGTAATGCATATTTAAAAAGGGAGTCCCCTCAAATGGCACTTTGTTAGTAGCTTGCATTTAACTACTTTTTAGCTTGACTGTAGTTTAACTACTTTGAATTAAAGTAGTTAATTGACAAGCTACAGTTTCAGATTAGCTTCCTTTTTTACACACACTCTCTCGCTACTGCAGCTGCCATTCTTTGATGGCAGTGATGGTAGTAAATCACTTTAATAGACTGTGTGTTGTGACATAATGTGTACGGAGGGATCTGGACTCCGTCCTGCCACCAGCCAATGAGAAGGCTCGCTGAGAGCTTTCTGAGATGTCAATGGATGCGACATGAGAGTAGAGGCGGGGTTATTCAGCACTGGTAGGATGATGACTGGGTCTGTTATTTGGGCTGGACGTGTTCCAGGGCGTCTGTCTTAAAAACTGCCTCACACACACACCTGAAGTAGAGTACAGTGTGAGTGTGCTCTACAGAAGAGTTTAACCGTTTCTGGAAATTAACCAGTCTAGCTGGAGTCATGCTGGTCTTGAACTCTTGTTGTATTTATAGGGCTGATGTTGAGGCTTTGAACAGCTCAGCTTTTCCCACGCCAGAGTTTGAAGTATCAAGCTGGCTGGACAAAAGTATCTTTCATTTGATGGCAGTTTCTGTTCGTGCTTATCCTTTTGGATAAACCACTGGTTCAAATTTACTAGAGGCCAAATTATAATGTTTAAAAACTGGATAAACAAAAGGTCTTGTTTTGGTAAAGATGAGTTTGTTGCAAGAAGGTCCTGTAACTGCCGTATAAACGATCGATTTTAGTTCCAGATGGAAAGACAGTGTGATAAAGGCTCCCCGTCTATTTTTCACTGCATCACGATATCTTTTCCCTCTCTGTCATCACAGAGAAAGAGCATGATGAAGGATAAGCGAGTGAAAGACTGGGGAAATCCAAAAATACACGTTTCCTACGACTGCTGCCAGGTATCAGGGCCGCAATAAGTCAATCACTCTCTCACTCTCTCTTTTTCCCTAACACTCTAACTCATTGTCAAGGTTGACATTGTGTTCACTTTGGCAGAGGCTCCTAAAGGGTTTAGATTGCAGTTCCGTCCGAGTCTCTGGTGAAAATTGATTATTGTAGGGCACTTGGAATGAAAGAAAGGCAGAGAGAGAGGAAGAGCAACAAAGAAAGATGGAGCTATCAGTTTGCTGTGAGGAAGGGGAGGTTAGTATAGTCACGTCAGCGATCATGTTTTCTCAACATTATGGAAGAGTAAACCGACACCATGCTAATATTTAGAAACATTTAATAATTTTACCTTGCTTTTTTTTTTTAATTAAACCGTTTCACTATAAAAACATACTGTAAGTTTTAGAACCCAAAAGTCTAATGCAATAAGACCATCTACTGAAACTAAGCTGTAAAAACAGCTCATTGCAAAAACGTTGGATCTCTGCTGTCAGACAGTCAAATATATTAACATACGGCAACTTACATTTGCATGTCTATTATTACGTCAACGCTATTGTTCCACTTGGCATGTAATCAAGTCCACATTAAATTTGTTCCTGCAGAACTAACGAGAAGAATGATGCAGTGCCATTTTTTTCCTCATTATTTTTTCTTTTATTTTTGATGTTTAATGTTATACATTGTTTAAAAATTAGTTTGTTTTTATACAGTGCAGTTCAAAAGTTTGGGGTCTGTAAGATTTTTTTTCACGTTTCATGTAAGAATTCTCTTATGCTTATTTATGCTCATGCTCTTTTCCTGCATTTGTTTGATCAAAAATACAGTAGAAACAGCTCTATTTTGAAATATAATTAAAAAAATTTACAAGTAATTACAAGTTTTCTATTTTATTATATTTTAAAATAGAATTTATTCCTGTGATGGCAAAGCTGAATTTTCAACAGCCTTTACTCCAGTCTTCAGTGTCACATGATCCTTCAAAAATAATAAGTTTTAATTCATATTGACTGCGACATGGTAGGCTTAAAGGCACAATAGTGGAAAAACAGTCTATTTATGGTCAGGGAGTGGGTAAAACTGAATTATATTTTTGAAGAAACCTCAGAAAACATTAAAAAATATATACAGTGGGTACGGAAAGTATTCAGACCCCCTTAAATTTTTCACTCTTTGTTATATTGCAGCCATTTGCTAAAATCATTTAAGTTAATTTTTTTCCTCATTAATGTACACACAGCACCCCATATTGTCAGAAAAACACAGAATTGTTGACATTTTTGCAGATTTATTAAAAAAGAAAAACTGAGCCTTTAATAATTTCGATGTTTAGAAACTTGAGTCTTTTGGGCAAAAAACAATGTGGCTGTCAGATTGCTACAAACTGCTATTTGTAACTATGACAGGTGGTCCAAACAAGCCCAAATATAACTGAACACTGTCATAACAGTCACTTGCACTTTTGGGCTAGGCAAACCAGTTTTTATGTTTAGTGGACGCTTCCCAAAAACAGAGATTAATTTTTCTTGTGTATGTAGAGTACATATATAGTTATGGTTTGAGTGGCAGCTATTTCTGTAAGAGGTTTGAGTGTTATGGGAACACTATGTCTGTTTTGGGCCGTGTTTCTGATTTCTTTTCACTAGACCCAACATATGAACGAGAAGTCAGTGGTGAACCTCTGAGTGTCTGAATGATAGGGCCCAGCCCGCATGGCCTTTACACTATCATTAGAGCAGTGTAGATTAGTTTGGTTTGTGAAATGATTTTAGATTCTTGGAATTCTGTACTTGTACCGGACGATGCCAATAGATTTAGCCTGGGATTTGTTATAGAATATGATTGAGAATCTTTCTAATGTTTCTTTGTCTTTTCTTCTACTATATATATAATATTTATATTATTGTCATTTTCTTTTTTTCTTGTCTTCACAAATCATTCTAATATGCTGATTTGGAGCTTAAGTAACAATTCTTAATATTATCAATGTTGAAAACAGTTGTGCTGCTTAATAGTTTTATGGAAACAATGATATATTTGTTTAAGATTCTTTGATTAATAGAAAGCTCAAAAGAACAACTTTTTTTTTTGTAACAATGTAAATGTCTTTACAGTCTATAAAAACTTTACTTTAAAAAAATCTTACTGACCTCAAACTTTTGAATGATAGTATATAAATAGACGTACCATTACTTTATGGTTTTCTCTGCACATTTACATTTTTTTAGAAATTATTTTATTTAAAAAAAAAAATTCAATTGAGCAGACAAACTGTACATTCTCATTTATGCATGAATTCATTCGTTTCTTTATATTTTATCGTGCAGACCATGTTTGCTCAAGTTTACTGCACCTTATCAAAATCCAAAACCTTTTCATGATCTCTTTCAGTGTTTGTTTTATGAGGGTGACTGTAATTTTTCCTCTCCCACATTAATCTGCTGATCTCATTCACATGGCACTAGTGCCAGCCTGTAGTCTCATCTCCCACACATTGGCACCACACCCGGCTCTTCTTTTAAACATGCTTTTCTCGCACAGAATGGGGCCGCTTTTTTTTTTTTGCCGTAGAGGGTTGTGTCATTCCACCATGGAGGGGTAGATTAGAGATGTTCCGGTGCATGACATGCCTGTGCAGAGAATGAAGTCCTAGTTAAGTGCAAAACGTTAAATCTCAGTGTCTAAAATGTGCACTGAAAAGTCCACTTGAGTGCTAAGACCTTTTGAGGAGATTATTCCACCAGAAACAGTCAAGAACAGCACCAACCTTACAGTTCGACTTCTTTCTCTGAGGTTGTCTGGTTCAGCTCTTTCTGGAGCTTTTATAGGCTAGTAGTCCATCTAACCACAACCACAAAGTCTGACACCCACAATGAGTCACATCAGATCTTCAGATAAAACTCCTTCACCCACATTGCTCAGACATCCAGTAGCTTAATGCTGCATATATCAAGTCTTCTCTAATTACGATAACCCAACAACCCCACACACAATATATGGAAAAGACATTTTCCTGCAGAGACAGCATGATTTCATTTTCCATTTGTCCAAACTGTCTCATTATTTGGCCACTGGGTGAAGTCATTTGTATTCATAAAGCTTAAAGGCATCCATAAGTTAGTTTGAAAGGCCTAACCACCCTGTTTTCTTAAAAGCTTTTATGAGTCGAGAGAGCCGACTGCCAGGAAGCTGATAAAATGAAATTTGCTGAGTAGGACTGAGATATTATTTTCCTCTGTGCAATTATTCGGTATTATGGGCTCATGCTTCTTAATTAATATTGCAGCTTGAAGAGGATTATTAGGCATATAACAAAACTGTATTATTTTAGTTATTGTGAAATAAAACATTTTATCACAACATACCTGCAAAAACACACTTTAAAGGGTAAAAAAATATATATATTTATTTATTTATACATAAATATGGAAAAGATATTACTTCTGTTTTACAATTGAAGTCATGAACCAAATAATATAATTATTGCATTTTTATTAACCTTTGGGGTCAGTGTCTGCTAGCCACACTGTCTTGTAGTTTTAAAATAGTCTGCCATGTATTTTAAATCCCTCTAGAGCATTAAAGTGCTGTTCCTCAGTGACCTGACTTCTGGTGACCCTCTGGTTTGGCTCACTCGTGTATTTTGACTTACTAGTGACAGAGAATCTGGGTGTGTTTTGATCCAGGACTCTCTCATTGTGAGATCAGTGCTGTTTGACATTCTTCTTCTCTTGCATTTGAATACCCCCTCATTGCTTCGATCGCAGGGTTTCTCTCATCCCAGTGAACCCCATCTTTCATCCACCCCTATATTAACACAAACACAAGGCCGTGTGGATGTTCTGCTGAAGTGGCTGCTTAAGATAAAGCTCAGATCTGTGGGAAGAGAGATGGTGGGAGTGTGGGAATCCATTTAAGTCTGTCTCACTCACTGGTCTGGTCTGCTTTTTGTCAGTAAACTTGAGTGTTTGGAGAGTGTTTGTATGTGCCTGTGTCATAGTGGGGACAGCTGAGTGGTAATATTGAGTCTAATTATTTTCATTCGATGGAAACAGACAGGCAGATGGGACAAACAGGAATGACAAGGTGATGATATGCTGCCCTGTCAGGGTTGAATGGATGAAGCTTCTTTTAGCAGGAATGTTAAAGGTCTGAAGGCCAGAAAGATTTAGTTCTGCTGGCTGAAACGGAACTCTCTGTTGCAGTAGCACTATCAAATGCTCCATAAACAGCCTTTGTGAGTGACTCTTAAACTTCAGAAAAAGTGCCTTGAAGTAAGTGTGTGTGAGTGTGTTATAGTACCAAAAGAAAATGAAGAAACATTGAAGAATGTTTCTGTTTTGTATATTTGTAAGTTTGGGATTTTCTTTCCCCAAAAATACTTTTATTCAACATAGATTCATTAAACTATTATAATGTTACAGGTTGAACCGATTGAACATATTGCTGTTCTTTTGAACTTTCTATTCATCAAAGAATCCTGAAAAAATATATCACAGTTTCCACAAAAATATTAAGTAGCGCAATTTTTTTCAGCATTGATAATAATAAAAATTGTTTCTTGAGCAGTAGATCAGAATATTAGAATGATTTCTGAAGGATAATATGACGCTGAAGACTGGAGCTTTGCTGGAAATGAATAACATGAAATGAAATTAATTTCTACTTTTAAATAAACTATTTTAATAATTGCATTTTAACATTAAAATAGAAAACAATTATTTTAAATTCTAATATTATTTCACAATATTTATGTTTTTACAGTATTTTTGATCAAATAAATGCAGTCTTGGTGAGAATAAGAGACTTATTTTAAAAACATTTAAAAAATCTTTTGAACAATGTTGTTCATATGAAGAAAGTCAGCGGGTGTCACACTCGCTGCTGGAAGGAACGATGGAGACGTGGATAACACAAATGGTATTTAATTAGATAATCACAGGGGTAAATACACAACAGGAACGGGGTAAACACACGTAATCCAACATGTAGACCCGACAAAGACAGAACGCAAAGGCTGGGACTTAAATAGATGGGGTAATTAGAACTAAACAACAAGACACACCTGAATGAAAAGAACCATCAACGAGAGGGAGAAACTGGGCCACGGAGCACATGGGGAGGGAAAACACAACAAATACAGTCCAGGGGAATGACATTACTCCCCCCCTCCCGGAAGGCTCGTCCCACGCGGTAACAACAACAGAAGGAGGGATGGGTGGGAACTTGGGAGGAGGCTCAGGAGGAGGACGGACACCCAGGAGGGGGCGGGCAGACAGAGTCCAGGGAGGTGATGACGGAGGGAGGAGCCAAGGAGGAAACAGGAACAGGAGGAGCCAGGGTGGATCAGACGGAGGGAGGAGCCAGGGAGATGACAGGAGGGACTTGGAGCAGGAGGAGCCAAGCGGGACCCAGGCCACAGCCATAATGGTGACCATGGTGGAGCTGACGGAGGGAGGAGCCATGGAGCAGAAAGGGCTGACGACTCCAGGGGGGCGACAACAGGCGGCGGAGCAGGTGGCGGAGGAGCCGATGAGCCAGGGTGACGAGGAGGATCCGGAGGGCCGAGGTGGAACTAATGGCCCCGGCGACCAACGCGGAGGTGGGGATCTGAAAGGCCGCGGTGGAGCCGGAGCGACAGAGGACCAAGGAGGAGCAGACAGGATGGAGGAGCCTGACAGAGCCGGAGGGACGAGGTGCAGCCAGAGGAGTGTAGTCCCGAGGCAACGGGTGGTCGACGCCAGACCAAGGCGGAGCCGGAGGGACGAGGTGCAGCCAGAGGAGTGTAGTCCCGAGGCGACGGATGGTCGACGCCAGACCAAGGCGGAGCCGTAGGGACGAGGGAGCCCGGCCAAGCCAGTGGACTGATGGACCACGGCGGAGAGGACGGAGCTAGGAGCCATGGTGAAGCCGCTGGGTCGACAGACCAAGTCGGAGTCCGGGGCTTAGAGGCTGGAGGCAGAGGCAAGGGCTGGGCTCTGAGTCTGGCTATGCTCTGGATAGACACTCTCCAGACACCAGACAATGGCTTCCTTCCAGCTCACTCCAGAGGTGTCTGGGAGGTCGACGGAACGATAGTAATTTCCCCCGATCCAGAACAGTGAGTTCAGTGCAGCGTTGTCGAACTGCTGGCTGAACTCAACCGCATTCTCCAATAGGGAAATGTATTTGCGGGTAAGGGAGGTGAACTTTATAATTTAAATTTATAAAAGTTGCTTTATTTGTAGTTTTGCCATTGCACAGCAAAATTGAAAAAAGAGGCTGACAGGAAAGGTGGGGGGAAAGAATCAGGAAATGATGTCAACAAGCTTGTAGAACATATTCAGTATGCCATGTGCAGTAACAGAAATATATGTCTGCACATGGATAAAAATGTCTGCTAAATAAATTAGTGTAACTAATGTGAACTATAGTTCAAACTATGAGCGTTTCATTGAAGCAGTTATGTGTCTCAGCTGTCCAGTTGTGACCACTAACCACATCAGATGTGAATACTACTGTAGGTGATAACAGTCACACCGCAGGAGCATCCTTTGTTGCTGAAGAACTGACACTGACCGTGTCCGTCCACCTGAGATGCAGACCAGATGCAGGCGTGGAGTAAAACAAGAAGGAGAGAAAGACAAAGATAAAGAGAAGAAGGTTAGATGAGGTCAGATAAGAGATAATTACACCTGTCTAGATAACACTGAGAACAAGAGTTTGCATGTGTGTGTCCTGATGGCAGAAAGAGGGGGGAGAGATTAGAAGCCT